GAGGCAGAAGGATCGCTTGAGCCCAGGAGATTGAGGTTGCTGTGAGCTAGGCTGACACCATGGCACTCTAGCCCGGGCAACAGAGCAAGACTCTGTCTCAAAAAAAAAGTCTTAATCATAAAATCTTTGCTCAGACCAATGTCCTGAAGTGTTTCCTCTGTATTTTCTTCTGGTAGTTTTAGAGTTTGGGGTCTTATGTTTAAGTATTTCATCCATTTTGAGTTGAATTTTGTATATGGTGAGAGAGAGGGATCTGGTTTCATTCTTCTGCATATGGATATCCAGTTTTCCCAGCACCATTTATTGACGCATGTGTCCTTTCCCCACTGTAGGTTCTCAGCATCTTTTTCAAAAATAAATTCTCTATCAATATGTGTATTTATTTCTGGGTTCTCTATTCTGTTCCATTGGTCTATGTGTCTGTTTTTATACCAATACCATGCTGTTTTGGTTACTATAGATTTGCAGCATATTTTGAAGTCAGGTAGTGTGATGCCTTTCTTTTCTGATGTAGACATTTATTGCTATAAATTTCCATCTTGGAACTGCTTTTTCTGCATCCCGTGTTTCTATGTTGTGTTTGTCTCAAGGTATTTTGTGATGTCCTTTTTGATTTCTTCTTTGACCCATTGGTGGTTCAGGAGCATGTTGTTTAATTTTCACATCTTTGTGAATTTCCCATGGTTTCTCCTGTTACTGATTTCTAGTTTCATGACATTGTGATAAGAAAAGATACTTGATAGGATTTCAATCCTTTAAAATTTTTAAAGTCTTATTTTGTGGCCTCTGACATATGATCTGTCCTGGAGAATGTTCTCTGTGTGCTTCAGAAGAATGTGTATTCTGTTGCTGTTGGATGGAATGTACTGTATATGTCTGTTAGATCTATTTGGTCTAAAGTGTAATTCAAGTCCAGTGTTTCTATATTGATTTTTTTTTTTCCTGCTTAGATCTGTTCATTTTTGAAAGTGGATGGAATATTCATGTCCTCCACAACTGTTGCATTGCTATCTATCTCTTCCTTCATATCATTTAATAATTGCTTTATATATTTAGGTGTTGTGCTATTAGGTACATATATATTTTTAATATATCCTTTTGATGAATTCATCCCTTTATCATTATATAACGACTTTCTTTGATTGATTTTACAGTTCTTGACTTAAGGTCTGTTTGGTCAAAGTATAGCTACCCCTGCTCTCTTTTGGTTTCCATTTACTTGAAATATCTTTTTCCATCCCTTCATTTTGGCCTGTGTGCACTTACTAGGGAAAGCGAGTCTCTTGTACACAGCATATATTTGGGTCTTTTTTTTTTTTAAATCTATTCAGCCACTCTGTGTTTTGATTGGAGAATTAAATCCATTTATACTCAAGGTAATTGTAATTTTGTAATTTTTCTTGTTTTGTAGATCCTTTGTTTCTTTCTTCCTCTCTTGCTGTCTCCTTTTGTGGTTTGATAGCTTTTTGTGGTAGTATGTTTTGAATCCTTTCTTTTTATGTTTTGTGCAACCATGCTATGTTTTTGCCTATAGTTACCATGGGGCTTACCTAAAACGTCTTTTATTTATAACAGGCTATTTTAAGCTGATAACAACTTACCTTTAATTATATACAAAAACTACACTTTTTCTCCCCCTGCATTTTATGATTTTGATGTCAAAATTTACATCTTTCTGTAATTTATAGATACAGTAACTTTAGTACATTCATTTTAACTGCTTTTAATCAATTATATAAATATCACTTCTCCTGTTGCTGGGCGGTTAAGTTGTTTAAAATATTTTGCTTTTAGAAATAGTTTTGTAGAGAAAAGTGGGGCATCTGTTTGGGATACCCTGCAAAAGCTTAAACAACGAGGTTGTGCCCCTCCTGCAGTAAAAGCTTGCAAATTATCCTCCAAGCCAAGGGCAGAAATATCAGCGTCCTTGTTACTCCATATGGCCTTGGCATTCTCCCATGGCCCTCCAGTGAAGAGCTCCTGGGTCCGAAAATGGCTGCAGCAGTGTTGGGGTTGGGGTTAAGGATAATTCCGCTCCTTGGCCAGTGGATGGGCAGTGGCCCATGCCTCTACTGTGGACCACAGGACAGCGAAGGTGCTGACCAGCAGACAAGTCCCAGCACTCTGTTTTCTACTGTGGACACTGATGAAATACCAGCCAAAAGACCAAGATTAGATTGCTTTATTCACCAAGTGAAAAACAGTCTCTACAATGCTGCCAGCTTATTTGGATTCCCATTCCAGCTGACCACAAAGCCCGCGGTAACTTCAGCTTATGATGGAACATGGAATGTGGCCCCTTCAGGAGAGGTATTTTTGAACTCTTCATCTTGTGATGTGAACTGACAAGTTCTGGATCCTGGAACAACATGCTGAAACTGGGTAATAAATCTCCTAATGGAATAAGTGACTATCCAAAGATCAGAGTGACAGTAACCCAAGATCAACCACGCAGAATCTTGCCTTCCTTTGGTTTTACTTTGAACTCAGAAGGCTGTAATAAGAAGACTAGGTGGCCGTCGCCATAGCAGAGGCAATCTAGAGAGTTCCTTAACGTGGAAATCTCAGGAACAAGCTGTAACAGAGATGATTTCTGAAGAGAGTGGCAAGGGCCTGGGGCGTCCCCATTGCACCATGGAGGAGGGTGTTCAGAAAGAGGAAAGAGAGAAGTACCGAAAGTTAGTGGAATGACTTAAAGAAGGTGGTCATGGAAACTCTGTCCCTCCTTTAGCTTCACGTCATCACAGTTCTCAAAGAAGTCAGATGGACACATTAAAGACCAAAGGCTGAGGGGAAGAACAAAATTATGGAGTCAGAACAACTCAATTTGTTCCAAAACAATATAGACTTGTTGAAACAAGGGGACCTCTATATTCAATGAGAAGTTAAATGAGGTGTTCAAAGGGGAAAACATCTAATCCAGAGAAGGCACTTGGAGTCAGACTTGAAAATGAAGGTAGGAGGGGACACCAGCTGGAGCCTGACCTATCAAAAGTGTCTGCCCAACTTCGCCTGAGCGGTGGAAGCAATGGCTTACTCAGGAGGAAAATGTCAATACTTGAGACAAAGGAAAAGAACTGCTCAGGCAAAGAGAGGGATAGAAGAATAGATGATCTGCTTGAACTTACAGAGGACATGGAAAAGGAAATCAGTAACGCCTTAGGCCATGGCCCACAAGATGAAATCCTAAGTAGTGCTTTCAAATTGCGAGTTACCTGAGGAGATATCCAGACATTAAAGAACTATCATTGGCTCAATGATGAAGTCATTAAGTTTTACATAAATCTTCTGGTGGAAAGAAATAAAAAGCAAGGCTATCCAGCACTTCATGCATTCAGTACTTTCTTCTATCCTAAATTAAAGTCTGGGGGTTACCAAGCAGTGAAAAGATGGACCAAAGGGGTAAATCTCTTTGAACAAGAACTTATTCTGGTGCCTATTCATCGGAAGGTACGTTGGAGCCTGGTGGTTATAGACCTAAGAAAAAAGTGTCTTAAATATCTGGATTCTATGGGACAAAAGGGCCACAGGATCTGTGAGATTCTCCTTTAGCATTTACAAGATGAAAGTAAGACCAAAAGAAATATTGATCTGAATCTTTTAGAGTGGACCCACTACAGCATGAAGCCTCATGAGATTCCTCAACAGTTGAATGGGAGCGATTGTGGAATGTTTACTTGTAAATATGCAGATTATATCTCTAGGGACAAACGTATCACATTTACTGAGCACCAGATGCCTCTCTTCTGGAAGAAGATGGTGTGGGAAATCCTTCATCAGCAGTTGCTGTGAGAATGCCCTGCCAGGTCCCTCTAGCTGCTGGTGGTTCTTTCATGGATGTTTCCATATACCTCATGCATTATGTGTTAAAAAGTCCCTGCATCACTTCTGTTTTCTCACAGGTACTGAGCTGTCAAGCACATGAAAGCCTCTCACTGCACCCTAGTCCTGACTTGGGGTGCAGAGGCTGCTTGCAACCCTGTTTGCAAGGCTGTGCCTGCTCAGAGTCCTGGACTTTTCAACCCACACAAGAACAAACGGTAATTAATACTTTTTTTTTTTTTTAAAGATTTTTTTTTCCCTATGAATGTGGGAAATGCAGGATTTATTCTGTGAATTGTTTTTTTCTGTGTGTTTGTTCAGTGTATTCATTCGCTCATTTGCA